AACCCCGTGCTAAGCTAATCTTGTACTACTACGACTACTCCCTCTCCCTCAATTTCATAATATAAGTCATTCTAGCATTTCCCACATTCATATTGATGTGAATGAATCTAGATAATATTTATCTAGATTCATTCACATAAATAAGAATGTGAAAAATGCTAAAATGATTTACACTGTGAAACAGAGGAAGCACTAGCTAGCTAGCTTATGATCAGCATCAATCGTGCTATCTCTCTTTTTGTGTCCGGGCGTACGAGGCGGCGACACGAGTGGCGGTAGTGTGTCCCGGTCCTGAATTGTTCGCCACGGCTCACTCTCTCAGTTTGATCTTTGGTTGCGCACATGCTTCACTGTTTGGTGTTTGCTTCATCACACGCACGTTGAGCAGTGACCATGCGCCAAGTTCAAAGGATTGCCACAAATTACACGTACGATCCGCATTCACGAGGGACATTAGCCCTGATCTCCATTATCCACGAATAGGGTGACACTTTGTGTGTGAGTTGCTATAATATTAATCTTATAGTGTAAAAACCATTGCGTATTAAAACGCTGATGGTACAAATCATAGCCTCTATAATAATTATAGAGGATAATCCTCCAATAAAATAAGATATAAATATCAGAAATACTTGAGGATGGTCCGATCGACCAATTTCACATGGTACGTTCGTGCTATTATGCAAGAGCATAGAAAGAGCGAGGATATGGAGCCTGCTAGGGAGCATGATGGTGCTGAGGAAAGGGGAGGATAAAGTCGAGGTTGTTGTGGGTCAGGAGGGTCTGGCACGCAGTAGCTGTAGGCAACAACACATCCACCGGTTCTACCCGATGTTAGGCCAAGAGCTATTTGTCACGCGCATAGGCAAACCGTAGGTACCCGCCTGAGATTCTCAACCTCATCCGCGGCCTCCTAAGTCCTACTATGGGTTATCCTCCGCGACACCGTCAAGTCCCCGCCTACTCCTCCCCCACCACTGATCTTGCTTGAACCACCATCCGCAATGAGCTTACTCATGTCGCGTAGGATAAGGAGAGAGAAGTTTTGGAAAAGATAATTTTTAGGTGGATTTTAGTTCAAACTATAATCTAAACATAATTATAGGGCGTTAGCGTAGATGTTATCTTTCTTAAAAATATTGTGTTCTAAATGTCTAAATATTAATCTTGCCTTCGCTTTTCAATTCTTTGTTTTAACTTACATTTATGTGTGTTTATTTTCATATGTTTTATTGATGTGTGTTATTTCCTCTATTCAAAACATGCCCTTAAGTGATTTTGGGAGGAATCCTAATTGGCGCGTACGCGCCGGCCCACACGATCCAATAGGCAGATTTTTTCCATATATGTGTAAACTTTCAACCTATATTTGAAAACTTTCAACTCCGACTTGAAAACTTTCAAATTCGAATGAAAAATTTCAACTCATATTTGAAAACTTTCAACTTAGATTTAAAAATTTTCAACTCGAGATTCAAAAACTTTCAACTCGAGATTTGAAAACTTTCAAGTACAAATTTGAAAATTTTTAAGTTAAGATTTGAAAAAAATATGAAAACTTTTGACTCAGATTTAAAAACTTTCGACTTCGATTCGAAAACTTTCGACTCGAGATTTGAAAACTTTCAACTCAAATTCGAAAACTTTCAACTCAAGATTTAAATACTTTCAAATCAGATTTAAAAATTTTTAAGTTAAGATTTAAAAACTTTCAACTCAAAACATTTTTTAAAAAATAAGTGTGCTAAAGATTAAAAAAATAATGAGAAAAAAGGAAAAAAATGCAAAAAAACAAAAGAAAAAATCGTGAATAAAAGAGAAAAAAAAGGCCGATAGGCTTTGTGAGCCGGGGGACAGCTGGCGCGCGCACGCCAGTTAGTAACACCCTGATTTTGGTTATGTGCTTAGAGAAGTAGCCAAAATCCATTATATTTTTGGAGGGAGAGTAACTTGCTATGATCAATTATTTTGAATAGGCTCTATATATTATAATGTGCACCATATCCATTACTTAAAAAACACAAACACGAATGTGGAATTAAAGGTCACTAGTGTCTAGTAGAGCAATATGAGTCATCACACAGGGCTTCGTACAGCCCGTACTTGCTCCCATGAAGAAGATATTGCAATCTTTGCATGTGGTGTTTATCAAGTGGGTTCAGCACAAAAACTTCATCAGAGGAAAGAGCTAGCAGAAGTAGAGCACTAGAGCGCATCTCCTATGTGACGCTTGTCAGCTGACGATTACCAGAGGCGGAGCTGTGCACAAACACGGGCATCATTGGGAGCACCACTGGTAGTAGTTGCTGCTTGTACCGCTCCAATTCTCCATGTTGGATAAATCGGATTATAATGTCATTTTCTGCTGAAAAGGGTGAGATAAAATAAAAACAGCACGCGCCATTGACATTGAGGCATGCTAGAAACTGTGGCGTGTTAGGTTTTCAATGCAGATTCTACTGGCCAGCCCGCATAACGCAGGGTGGAAATGGGTTTCCTTTTCTCGGTCGCGCAGGTCGCACCTTCAGAAAACGAAAGCTCGGAGGCTTTCCCGGATTCAGGTTGATACACCACCTTATCAGGCCCTGCTGGAAACTCCTTGTGAGTGAGTGTTACTGGTTCTTATCCGTCTTAATCTCACTGTCATGATTCTGGCCAAACTGTTTGAACTTTAAACGCTAAAGGAAGCTAATTCTGCTATTGCTGAACATTGCTCTTTCCAAATTAGTTATGGTTTTTATGAGCTATTTTAGAAAAGAGCCCAGGTTTTGCACCACTGAATACTGATAGAAAGCTCTTGTGATTAGCATTTAAGAACACAAAGAGAATATATGAGTTCCGAGTATATATTGTGTGATAAAGTTTGGCACTAAATTGAGTGTATAATTTGTGGGACTGAGTAGTAATAAGTGTGACATGTCATAGTTAATAATGAATCAAGCACTAGATAATAAAATATGATGTGCATAAGGTTTGGCAAGGCTGACTCTAGCTATCAAACCAACATACCCTATCTTTCTCAGACAAGCAATATTAATTAATATTGGTCATGTTTAGAAAGTTTCTGGTAGCTATAGTTTCTTTTAAAATATCCAGCTCCTAAAAATTGTTCAGATCTCATTCAATTTCTAGTTTCTTACTAGAATTTGAAGCTTCCCAAGCAGGAGCAAAAGCAGAGGAGCTACTGCCGCGACGCTTTTTCCCTTGGATGATTTCCAACCGTCGTATCAAGAAAGAACAGCTGCCCATATTATGTCACAACAGATACCGCAAGTAGGGATTATCCGTTTCTCTGACGATATCATCTGCCAGTGCGCGCTCCTTGATACGGTTCCTGGACAAGAAGGATTCCCAATGTGGTCAGTGCTGCTAGCTGCCTAGCTGCTTGGTGGAGTGTCGAGTGACAAGTGTGCGCGCGTGGAGTCGTGTCGCGTCCACCCGGCCATCCCCATGCATGCACACATGGCTCTGCCCCCCAACCCAGTGGTGCCGCAACCTCGTCGCGCCCGCTGGATTATCAGCTCCGCCGCCGCTCGAATCCACACATTTCCACCCGGCGTCTGTGGACGGGCCGCGACACTCCATCATTCCGCCGTGGAAAAGGGCACGCCGGCGGCTAAATAAAAGATCCCTCCTTCTCCCTTCGCCCGGTGTGGCCGCTGGGGTCAACCGAACAACGGAGTGCGTGCGTGTCGTCGTGCCTGCGTCCGTGCGTTCCTGTCACTCGACCCGTCGATTTGCCTGCGCCGTTCGGCACGACGACGGGCGATGCATTCGCGGGGGGGCCATCTGCCCATCTCGGCGATCTCGCGAATCCGGCTCGCGAGCGTGACAGGCGGACAGCATCTGTGCCGCGCACTGCTGCACGATGGCTAATTTTAGGAGACGGCATAAAGGCAGCAGCAGCGTATCTCTGGTGTTTCGTTTTCCCGGCGGAGCAAATCGGGTGCTGTGTACTAGCGGTAGAGGAGGGGCCAGGGGGACCCCGGGAATTTCTTCCCTCATCAGCAGCACATCTCTCTTTTTTAAGGTTCAGTCGGTCAGACTTCGGAGCGGCAGCCTTTGTGATGAGAGCATCTGCAGACGAATCGAAACTTTCCGAGATTTCGGTTGTTGTTGGCTCACATCGCCCACGCTAAAAGTCATCACACCACTGTTTTTGAACACAAGACATGGCTGTTTAATTATAGTGATTTAAATCGGTCCATCAAATGTACAGCGTGTGTAGTGTATAGTTGTCTACACTACACGGTATCCACACCAAGAAAAATGGGAAAAAAAGACTTACTAGTTACTAACAGATACAGATGCAATTATGCACGTATCCGTGATCCAGGCCAAGTCCACTGTCCACCGGCTCGCGCACACGTACACCACACAGACTGTATGGGTTCTCGTGGATAGATAGGGGCGCACACATGCTTTTTGCCGCAGTTCGTGGAAAAAGAAAATCCGAGTGCCACCGTGATTGATCCAGCCACCGTCTTGGCGTCTTTATCGACGGCGAGAAAGACCACAGCTGCATGCAACGTACAACACAGCTAGTGCCGTTGGGCAGTGATTCTGCCTGTCTGTGCATGCACCGCATCCGCCGCTCGATCGAGGAGGCTCTGGCCGCGGGTATAGATGGCCATAAGGCCCGCCCGGCACGGCCCGGCCCAGGCACGGATAGGCACGGCCCGAGAGCGATCGGGCCGGCACGGCCCGATTGGAATTTCGTGCCGTGCCGTGTCTGCCCATGGGCCGCACGTCAGGCCCAGGCACGGCCCAGTAGCAATCGGGTCGTGCCGGGCCGACACGAAGGCACGATCAGCCCATTGGGCCTGGGCTAGCCCAGGCACGGCTTAGGACCAGTGGATCAGTGGACCAGTAATTCAGTGGATTGACAAATTCAATGGATCAATGGATTGAACATGCAAAATTTAAATTTAAACATGCCTTAGTTAACAAATTCAAATTTCACAACTTACTTGACAAATTCAAATTTGAACATGCCTTAGTTAACAAATTTAAATTACACAACTTAGTTGACAAATATAAATTTGAACATGCCTTGGTTAACAAATTCAAATAACACAACTTACACAACTTAGTTGACAAATTCAAATTTGAACATGCCTTAGTTGAATTCACAGTTCTAGATTCACATATCACCTTTACAAAAATTCACAGATCACAGATCAAAGATTCACAGATCACATTGACAAAAATTCATAGATCACTTGACTAAGATCACATATCACATGGACAATTCACAGAAGAGTTTCAAAAATCACAGACTCACAGTTGTAGATTCAAAAATTTCACCAAGTCAAATTACCCAAAATCACAAATTTTCACCCAAACTTTCACCCAAAAAACTTGACTTAGATCACAGATGACATGGACAATTCACAGAAGAGTTTCAAAAATCACAGACTCACAGTTGTAGATTCAAAAATTTCACCAAGTCAAATTACCCAAAATCACAAATTTTCACCCAAACTTTCACCCAAAAAACTTGACTTAGATCACAGATGACATGGACAATTCACAGAAATCACAGTTCTAAGATTCAAAAGTTTCACTAAGTCAAAAATTACCCAAAATCATAAACTTTCACCCAAAAACTTGACACGAGTATTTCAATGAATAAAGTAGCTGTGTAGTGCAATGGCTGCCTCGTTAAAAACCTTTCTAGGTAAAAACTCACACCTCGTGAGAAAACCCTAGAAAGGAAAAAAGAGTGCAGCCCACAGCATTAATCAAATATTCATAATAAAGTCCAAGTCCAATACAATCATCCAGTCCCAATGGCAGTGGTTACTTCATCAAGAAACAAATTGTCAAAAGAGTTTATAAGCTCTAAATTCTCCATGGTATGTTGCATCTTTGCATCTGCTTGCTCCCAATCTTTGATTAGTGCCAAAGCTTGCACCATGTCAGGAGCTAGACGCCGTCGTCGCTCCTCGATGATCCTGCCAGTTAAGCTAAAAGCAGATTCCGATGATATAGTAGAAACAGGAACAGTCAAAACATCCCTAGCTAATATGGAAAGAATAGGATAGGTGTGGTTGTGCTCATGCCACCAGTTAAGGATATTGAAGTCATCATCGTATTGGTTGACAGTGTCACTGTCAAGATAGGCAAACAACTCAGATGCACTCAGAGTAGTTACGGATCTGATCGAATAGAGAAAATAAACTAAAAAAAAAGCTTGTACCTGCGCATCCGGAGCACCGGAGTTGCCGTTGATGATAGAGATCCACAGATCTACGAGAAGACAAGAGGAGAGACTAGATTTGGGGGGTGGATGAGTGGATCTGAGTATCTGACGAAGAGAAACGATGAGGGTTGCAAAAAAAAGTACAGAATGGAGAGGAAATCGACAATGCGACCGTCGATCCGGTGACCGGAGAGGCGGAGACGAAGAGCTCACGGTCACAGATCAGCCAAAGAGATGAAAGAAAAGGATAGAGAAGAGACGACCCTCAAGCCCCCAGCGGGAGCCCGCTGACCCTCGGTGCTAGATCCGGCGAGGCATCCATCGGAGACGCCGACGAAGAGGGATGGAGGCGTGGAGGGCTGAGGGGTCGGAGCCTGGAGGTGGAGGCGGAGCGGGCGAGCGGCGGATCGGTCGAGACTCCAGACTGATGTGGCTAGGGTTAGGGTTTGTCGGTTTGATGCGGTTTGGGGTATTTATACCCACCCGGCATAACAGGCCTCGGTCGGGCCGTGCCTGCCGTTGGACCGTGCCGGGCCGTGCCGGCCCACCGTGCCGACCTCTTTCGTGCCGGGCCGTGCCGGCCCACCGTGCCGAGGGAGCGGCCCAAGCACGGCCCGGTTGTTGGGCCGGGCCGGCACGGGCACGACCCCAGTCGGGCCGTGCCGTGCCTGGGCCGGGCCAATTTGTCGTGCCTTGGGCCGGGCCGTCGGGCCCCGGGCCTTATGGCCATCTATAGCCGCGGGTCGATCGGGGGCCGACGATGGCGACGGGCCGCACGCGCGCGACGGCCGATGATGCGGACGAGGCGTGCGTGTCACGACCAGATCCAGACGGCGTAGTAGGCGAGCGCCGCGTGCTTGAGCTGGCGCAGCATCAGCAGGAAGCAGTGCGTCTGCGCGAATCCCAGCGCGAACCCGAGCGCCGCGCCCACCGCGTCCCCCGCCGACCGGACACCCTCCCCCGGCACGGCCCAGAACAGCGCCCCCCACGACCACCCGCACCCGCCCGACGCCGCGCACGCCACGAAGAACGTCGCCGCCGCCGCCGCGTACGCGCCGCCTCCCCCGTGCATCTCCATGGCCACCGGGATCACCACCTGGTGGCGGTACAGCAACGTGCATATAACGCCTTAGTCGAACACGTCGTAATATAAGGACACGTACACAGATACTCCAGTAGCTAGTTCACCTGGCAGAACACGATGAGCACGCCGCCGATGACGCACATGACCTCGCGGCCGTACGTCCTCGCGGCGAGCGCCGACCCGAGGACGCCGCCGGCGTTCGCCAGCACCAGCACGGCGTGTCCGGCCAGCGCCGCCTTGCCGCAGCCTGTCGCCTGGGACAGCATGGGCAGGAAAAGCGTGGTGACGTTGGCCCCGGTCAGGCGCAGGAACAGCTGCAGCGTCGCCACCACCACGGCGTACGTTACGCACCACTCGTACTTCCTCGCCACCATGATCCACCAGAACGAGCGGCCGAGGCCGTCCCGCCGACTCGGCCGCTTTTCCCCGGAGACGTCATGCCCCTGCTTCGCATGGGCCTCCCCACGTCCACAACCGCCGCTGCTGCAAACGCACCCCAGCACCAGGACGGCGTAAATCCGGTCGCTGTCGAGGAAATCCGGCGTCGGAGAATGCTGCCAGTAGTCGCCGAGGTCGCAGTTCGTGCCGTTGACGACGAGCTGTTCACCGCAACTAGCCCTGTGAATCGCACTGGAGTTGTAGAGATCGTATACGGAAGAGCAGACAGTATCCAAGAACGGCGACGTGCTACGCCAGGAGAAGTGGAGTGCCATGGCACGGCAAATCAATTTACTCTGCCAAATTGTACACTTTTTTCAGTTTGTCTTCATGAACATAAATCAAATCGATACGTTCATTGATCATTTCAACAGAGAAAAGGAAACAGGTAGATATGATATGCAATCATGCATGCAGTAATCCAAAATTCGACTCCAAAGTCTTCCATTAACACCGAGAGATTCGCGTTCATTCATAATGTGTGAGAGCAACAAACCTGGACAACATCAAACATGTGCAGCATCCAGCACGCGACGAGAATTCCATAGTTGATGGCAATAATTGGGATCGCCCCACCAATAATGGGAACGGCGCGGCCAATCAGCACGAGAGGCGCACGCCCCATCGCGTGGGTGACGTGGCAGCTCGTGCGCGCGATGCCCGCTGACCTGGACGCCACGTGTGCGAGCACCCTGTACAAGCGATGCATCTCTCTCACCATGTTGGCCTTCCAACGTTTGAGTATGTTGTTGCAGACTCCTTTGCAGAAGAAATCACGAACGCATCTTTTTTTTTTTTAACGGAAAACAGCACTAGATTGCCTTTTCATTGAATAGAGCAGGAGAAAATACAAATCCTTAGGGGTAAGAGGAAAACGGAGAACCACTATAGCTGTACACTATACAGAGTGCGGGATTAACTCACGCAACCGCTTAGCTCCTGCTAAAGCCCAAAGGCTCGCCTCCTCTTTGATTTTCATTAGTAGGAAGTTCGTTGCCACCTCTTTGTGATCAAAAATCCGCCGATTCCTCTCTTTCCAAATTTCCTAGACGACTAACAACATGAGCGATCGAAGTCCTTTTTTCAGGACACTAGGCGTGTTTACAATGTTCTCCCGCCACTGTTTGACTGACTAGGCTTCCTCCCATTCCGTTGGGTCCATCTGCTGATAGCCCACCCATGCAGAGATGAGGTGCCAGATCCTCTTGGTGTATCTACAAGTGGCAACGAGGTGCAATGCCGTCTCAGTCTCGCGGCGGCAAAGAGGGCAACAACCATTGTTCTGCCATCCCCTGGTCGCAAGCCGGTCTGAAGTCCAGACTCTATTCTGAATGATGAGCCAAGCATGAAATTTGCATTTCCCCGGCGCCCAGGCTTTCCAAATCAAGGAATTGAAGTTTGTGCTCGGCACCCCGCAGCACTGTGCATGGTAAGCCGAGGAGGCCGTGTAGTGCCCGTTGTTTGTGAACTTCCAAGTAATCTGATCCGGTTCTCCAACGTCTAAGTGCACATTTCGGACCGCTTCCCACAGTGCGACTAGCTGTTCGACGAGATCGACTGTGATAGATGATTGTGAATCAAGCTTCAAATCTTGCACCCAGGCGTCGTCCTCCTTTCCTTGCCGAAGGGATTTTCCTCTGTTTTTTGAGATCGTATAGACAAGCGGCATGAGGTCTTTGGGTCTTCGCCCACCAATCCACGCGGACTCCCAAAATCGCACCGTGTTTCCGTCCCCTATTGTTATGTTTGTTGAGGCGGCGAAGAGGTTCCTATCTATTTCATCACATGGCGTCTCCAGCCCCACCCAAGGTTTGGTCTGGTCCTTCCATTCATGCCACAGCCATCTCAACCTCAAGGCCCTCGTGAATTTGTCCAGATTTAGGACCCCCAATCCTCCTTGGCTGGTCGGCATGCACGTCTTTGTCAAATTGACCTTGCATTTCCCTCCGGTAATATCACCCGTGCCTGCCCAGAGGAAGCGGCGCCGCTGCTTGTCTAGCTGCTCGAGGGATTCCTATGTGATTTTCAGAGCGGTCAGAAGGTAGATTAGTTGCGCCGTTAGCACAGATTTTACGAGCATAGTTCTTCCAGCCGCTGCCATGTTTTTTACTCTCCAGCTTGCTACCCTTCCGAAAATTTTGTCAAAGACAGGTTGCAAGTCCACCTTCCGCAGTCTTCCCAGAGCTAGGGGGAGGCCCAAGTACTTGATGGGGAAATTTACCCTCACCACAGGGACGCCCTCAAGAACCTCATTCAACTCGATGCCGCCGCATCTGATGGCCGCCATTTGGGATTTCTGAAAATTGGTGACGAGCCCAGTTGCAGCGCCGAAGCGCTACAGGATGTCCGTGAAGGCCGAGAAGGCAATTTGCAAGGTATCACAAGTCATTTGTGCAATGGATATAGTTTGTGCCGACGAATATATCCAAAACGCAAGTGCTAAAATGAATCCACTGCTTTTTTATCCAAAAAGATAGCCTACTTTTAACAAGTTATCGTTTCCAATAGATTCAGTGTTAAGATACTGGTGATTGGACAGTGATAAGGTGCTTGTGTGGTTGGTTGGCTCAATTTGCTCTGGTGAGATCTGTATCAAATGCCCCTACCTAATCAAACAAGATGTACTTGGTAGCATTAAGAAAAGGATGACCACATCTATCTCAGTAGTATGTGGCATCTAGCAAGAAAGTTCACTTGTCTCATTCGTTAAAGAAAGTTCACTAATCTCGCCATGACACCATACCTTACCTGACATGATCTGAGCTGAAGTGCTGTGGCCATCAATAATGGCCCAGGAAAACAGTTACTATTAAACTCAGAATTCACTTAACACCAGATCTCTTCTATCTAAATTCTTAATCCTGACAATTCGATCGTTTACTGAGTATTCCTCTGTTTTCATTTCCTGACAAGATATTGTTCAGTCTTCAGTGAAAAAAAGCACACAAGATAGAGCTATATTTGCGGGGAAGCTCTGAGAAACTCTGAACCGAGTACTAGGCCCCGCTTCCATCACCAAACTCCACAATCTAGCCTACTCAGAAAAATTCAGGCGCACGAATTCTATCGATTCAGAAAATACATACTCTGCTTCTGTATCTACCTACTCCAACAACGTTTGCGGAGTAACTTCGGCCAACACCACCACCAGGGGGCATCAAGCACATCCAGTTCGCTCACTTAATTGCAGACAGAAACACATGAACAACAGAACAAGTAACTGTCACTCACCGTAGCGGCTCACTCCGTCGGTTCGGCCCTGCTCCACGAACACGCCGGCGAGACGTCGGCGGCGGCGAGCTTGCTCTTCTCTAACTGCAGCTCGCCTGCTGATCACTCGAGCAGTCCATCGCTGTGGTTTGCTGCATATAAAAACTGTACGAAACACCATCGCCGTCAGGACGTAGACTGGATTTTCTAATCCACAGTGCACATTTCACGTGCCAAATTGATCACATGGAGGAGGTTGCTCGATGAAGCCACCTGCTACTCCTACGTCCCAAAATATATAGACATTTTCAATATTGACACGGATATTAAAAATTAGATGAGAATAATTGAAAAATGGTTGTGATTGGTTGGGATAAGGTAGGTGGAGAAATAGTTTCATTTTGAGATAATGTACTGTGCTAGAAATAGTTAGCTACTCCATCCGTCTCAAAATATAACAATTTCAGCCCTTATGATTTGTTCCAAAATATAACAATTTCTCCACCAAATTTCTCTTACCAACCAATGACAACTCTCCACCATTCATTTTTCCTACATAACTTCACTACTCATTCAATCACAATCCTACACTACTCACTTTTACCTATTTTCTTAATAACCGTATCCAAACTCTAAAACTTGTTATATTCTGGATGGATGGAGTATATTTTGAAGCGGATGTAGTACGGACTGTTCAATCGACAGATACTCCAAATTTCGTTGTGGCCCAGTGCTCGCAAGATACAAAACTGCGAAAAGCCCCGGTGATGCGACGCGATGTACTCCTTCATGTACATGACGCGATCGACCGATCGGCATGTGTGAGGTTGGGTAGCCCATGCCTCCATTTGATAACGATCGAGGCCCCGCAAGCGTTGAATGTTCTTCCAGCTGCTGTAGAACACACGTGTCCGTCAGACAGTGGTGAACGCATCCATCATACAGTATCATACACACTGCATTTGAGCAGTTTTTGTTATCAGAGTAGGGGAGTTCCTTTTCTTCCCCATATTTAACTTCGAGAGATTTTTTCCTGTCTCTCTCGATCAATATAAGTTCAGTGCAGAATATTAGTTGGACAGGCTAGTGACCTTGTAACAAGTCAAACAGGTGTAGCACATGACATCATCTTCATAGTACATTCATACTCTACATGACTGAAGTTGTGTGTCACTACGGTAGGTATCAGAAACTCAGGATGAATAACGTGGCAAGACTTACAAATTACTAGCAAAATAATTTTGAGCATGAAGAAAATGAACTATGTATCGATCGGTGGCTAGGTGATGCGCTGTGCACCCACTTCGGTGGGGTTAAAGTTAAAATCCTTAACCATCGCACTCATGTTCATGTCCACCAATTTTAGCAAAGATGCATGCCAAATATTCAATTTTTGTCTTAAGGTCCAACTGTCAAACTCAATATCTTTGAACTTGACGTTTCTCTTACTTAGATTTTAAACTACGAATCGTTTATTTTAATTTTGATTCATATTTCAGGTGTGCATTTTTACTTCCTTTTGCTTGTCTTTGAACTCAGAAAATTTTGGACATCCCTTCTTTTGTGATTTGTTATTTCACTTGCGACGGATTTTTGAGCTTATATCTTTCACTTTTTTATCCATAGAATCTTCCATCATGATTTGTGTTCTTGTATATATCCATTACACTCAGTTACATAACACTTATACTTAGTTATAGTGCATTTCACTACAATTAGAATTTTTTTAACAATTTTTTCTCTAGTTTTACGTATTTGACATGCTTATTTTTTTTATTTAATTTAAAACAGGCTATATCTATTGGTTAAAAATTATGTAAGATTCAAAACTTTAATAGGTAGTCTTTTTTTTTCTAGTTTTGTTTTCTGAAAGCTCTGGTGGGCTGAGGCCTCCACTCTGGAGCCTTGCCCAGTACAGATAGTACATGTTAAAGGAAAAAGTCCACTTTGACTCCCTTAAAAATATACCGAATCTAATTTGTACCCTTCAACCAGAAAACCGGATAGAACGACTCTCTGAACTATAGAAACCAGTGCAATTTGACTCCCCAACGGTTTTAGAGGACGGTTTTGCTAACGTGGCGGTGTTGACCTGGTCTTAGTCCCATGTGGTGCTTATGTTGTATTAGAATTAAAAAATATTTGTGAGACCCGTCTCTCATTCACACACACATAATTCATGGGGCCCACATGACATCCTCTCTCTCCAACTTTTCTTTATGTCGACGGTCCAGTGGCAGCCCGAGCCCTGCGCCGACGCCGGCGCCGGCGATGGAGGATGCGAGCAAACACTGGGCGCCGCGCGGCGCGGTGCTGACGGCGTTCGTCGTCGGGATCAACTTGCTCATGGTCCTCCTCGTGTTCTTCTACTTCTGGCGGTTCTTCTCCGGTAAGCGTGGGCCACCGTCGTCGTCGTCCATGGCCGGCGGCCCCGATGACGAGGAGGCGTCGTCGTCGGACATGTCGCCAGCGGCCTCTCCGAGGGCGTCGTGGCGGCGGCTGCGGGAGTGGCCGGCGGGGTGCTGACAGCAAGAGGATGACATCGCGTCGTCACTCGTCACTGCTCGTGTCCGTGTAGGCGTGTACTCCGCCTCCGACGTCGGGCTCGGGCTCGGCGACACCAGCGGGAACGGGAAGGCGGTGGCGGTGGAGGCGGCGAGGGGGAGCGCGGTGGCGCGGCAAAGCGGCCAGGTGGAGTGGAGACGCAGCCACGCGCCGACGCAGTCGGCGTGGAACGTGGAACCGGTGGCCGCACCGCGGGAGGAGGCGCGCCAGGTCGACGCGAACAGCGGCGTCGGGGCCCGCGGCCGCAGGTGGTACGCGCACTGGGAGGTGGACGTGCCACGCTGGAGCTCGCGCAGCGTCAGGCCTTCGTGGAGCGCGTGTTCCACGTCGCCGAGGAGGACAACGAGCGCTTCGTCAAGAAGCTCCGCGCCCCCATTGACCGGTAAAAAAAAAAAAAAACCGAACCAACAACCACCCGATCGAGTGAAAATGGCCATGGATGGCACGGCTCGAGTCCGGCCAGTGATTGACTAGATGCGACGTGTCCGACGACGACGCCTCCTCGTCATCGGCGCCGCCGGCCATGGACGACGACGACGGTGGCCCACGCTTACCGGAGAAGAACCGCCAGAAGTAGAAGAACACGAGGAGGACCATGAGCAAGTTGATCCCGACGACGAACGCCGTCAGCACCGCGCCGTGCGGCGCCCAGTGTTTGTTCGCATCCTCCACCGCGGCGCCGGCGTTGGCGCAGGGCTCGGGCTGCCGCTCTGGACCGTCGACATAAAGAAGACTTGGAGAGAGAGAGAGGGGATGACATGTAGGCCCCACATGTTAGTGGGTCCTACACTATATTTTTGTGTGTGTGAATGACAGATGGATCCCACAAATATTTTCTTAATTCTAATGCCACATAAGCGCCACATGGGAGTAAGACTAGGTCAACACAGCCACATCAGTGCCACGTCAGCAAAACCGTCCTCCAAAACCACTGGGGAGTTAAATTGTACTGGTTTCAATAGTTCGGAGAGTCGTTCTATCCGGTTTCCTGGTTGAGGGGTACATATTAGATTCGGTCTACTTTAAGGAAGTCAAAGTGGAGTTTTTTCAACAAAAAAAAGAAACCTCCATGACATAGATGCACAAGCCCAATAAATACTTTGGTGGTGGCTACAAAGGAATAAGTTCACTTCACATCCCTTAATTTGTCGACGAATCTAAAATTCGTCCCTAAACCGTAATGCATCCCTCAGTTTTTAAAACTAGCGCAAGTAAAGTCCCAATGTTAGAGATAATATAATCACGTATAAACAGGATAAGAGAAAAACCGAACTAGATAGAGATAAGGTTGTTGTTGTTACATGTAAATAGGGATTCGGTTTTCCTCTACCTGTGCACACAGCTATATGTATTACTCCCGCACGTTTGAGTGCGCTAATTAACACGGATCGTCGTATCAACGACGTTAACCTAGATTAGTTTCTTTTCATGGTATCAGAGCCTTCCTAGCATGGCTAGCTCATCTTCTTCCACCTCCTCCAATCCAGTCTGCGGCTTCACCATCATGGAGAAGCTGACCAAACTAAACCATGCAGTCTGGGCGGCACAGATGCTCGCGGCCATCCGCGGCGCACGCCTTGTGGGGCACATCGACGGCAAGACCGCGGCCCCAAGCACCAAAGTCAATCAAGAGCAGGCGGACAAGACGGTGAAGAAGGTCCCAAATCCGGTGTATGAAGAATGGTATGCTGCAGATCAACAGCTCCTCGGCTACATCTTCTCCTCTCTATCACGAGAGATCCTCAACCAAGTCGCTGATTCAAGGACGGCGGCACAGGCATGGCGTGCGATTGGGAAGCTGTTCTGCTCCCAGACGCGCACGCGCTCCCTCAACAACCGCCTCGCTCTCCAGACAACCCTAAAAGGTGCCATGTCCATTACTGAATATTTTGGGAAGATGAAGGTGCTCTCTGATGACATAGCTGCAACGGGAAAGCCTCTAGATGAGGAAGATTTGATTGCTTATATTCTGAACGGCCTAGATGGTGATTATGATTCTGTTGTTTCTGCAATCGGCATGAAATCTGAACCAATCTCTGTTATGGAAGTATACTCTCAGCTGTTAAATTTTGAGAACAGACTTCAGCTCAAACAGGAAGGGATCGCTGCTGCCCATGCAGCGAGTCGCGGCCGCGGTGGGTTTATCCCACGCAGCGGCGGCAATGGTGGTGGCAGCGGCGGCTCTGGGCGTGGTCGTAGTGCACCGCCAGCCAACAATGGTGGCCGTGGCCGTGGCAATATGCCGCGCGGCCGCGGACAGCAGCAGCAACGCACAGACCCTCGGCCGATATGCCAAGTCTGCTATAAGCGGGGGCATGTCGCGGCTGAGTGTTGGCACCGTTTTGATGAAAACTATGTGCCGGATGACAGACATGTAGCTGCTGCTGCCCAAGCTTCCTCCTACGCCATTGACACAAATTGGTACATTGACTCCGGAGCAACCAATCACATCACGAGTGAACTTGACAAGCTTGCAGTCCGGGAGAAATACAAGGGGCCTGAATAGATCCACACCGCAAATGGTGCAGGTATGCGAATTAAACATATTGGTCATGCTTTAGTTCATACCCCTCGTACATTGCATCTTAAAAATGTCCTTCATGTTCCACAAGCCACCAAAAACTTAGTTTCAGCATCTCGTCTTGCCGAAGATAATTATGCTTTTCTTGAGATTTACTCTAAGTATTTTTTGGTTAAGGATCTTGCAACGAAGGACATAATTCTTAAAGGGCGATGCCGCAAGGGGCTCTATCCTCTCTCTCCTGGAACCTCCAAGCATGTCTACAGTGTTGCGCCGTCTTTTGCAAGATGGCACAGTCGTCTCGGTCATCCATCTACTCCTATTGTGTCAAGGGTAGTTAGCAAGAATAAATTGCCATGTCAATCAAAGTCTCCTAGTGAGTCGATTTGTGATGCTTGTCAAAAGGCTAAAAGCCATCAATTACCATATTCTAAGTCTGTTAGTGTGTCCTCTCATCCTTTGAAACTTATTTTTTCAGATGTTTGGGCTCCACCTCCTAGTTCTGTTGGAGGAAATAAATTCTATGTTAGTTTTATTGATGATTTCAGCAAATTTACTTGGATATATTCCCTTAAACACAAATATGATGTTTTTCAAAAGTTCCATGAGTTTCAAGCTCTTGTTGAGAGGCTCCTTGGTTATAAAATAATTGCTATGCAAACTGACTGGGGTGGAGAATATCAGAAACTCCATTCTTTTTTTTTTACTAAAATAGGCATCTCGCACTATGTTTCTTGTCCTCATGCACATCAACAGAACGGCTCTGCTGAACAAAAACATCGCCATATTGTTGAGGTCGGCCTTGCTCTTTTAGCTCATGCATCTATGCCCTTAAAATTTTGGGATGAAGCTTTTTATACAGCATCCTACCTCATTAATCGCACTCCTAGCAAAGTAATCAACTTTGAAACCCCCTTGGAACGATTGTTTCATCAGCCGCCTAATTACTCCTTTCTTCGGGTGTTCGGATGTGCATGTTGGCCTAATCTTCGCCCCTATAATAAACATAAGATGCAATTCCGGTCCACACAATGTGTGTTCCTTGGCTATAGCCACCTTCACTAAGGCTTCAAGTGCCTTGATGTGCCTACTGGCCGTGTTTACATCTCTCGAGATGTCACATTTGATGAAAATGTGTTTCCCTTTGCTCAACTACACTGCAATGCTGAAGCACACCTCCGCAATGAGATATCCCTCTTACCCTCCTCTCTACTGCCAATCACTTATTCAGGGGGAGAACAAAGTATTACCTCTATGTTTAATTCTGTACCAAATGCTACTAATTTATCTTGACGGAGCGTGGGGCTCCTCACCGGGAGACCGCGTAGGCCCCCCTTTGCCGGTTCGGCCGGGGGCGCTGAGTGAGTTTCTTCACCCTCGATCTGTGGAACGTTCGCGAGAGAGCAAATGCACAAGACACGGGCAATGTATACAGGTTCGGGCTGCTGAGAAGCGTAATACCCTACTCCTGTGTTCTGGTGGATTTGTGTGTGAAGGAATTACAGAGAGCCGGAGAGCAAGAGAGAAGCTGGAGAGGAAGAGAGTTCAGGCTCTAGAACCCTCCTTCCTCTTTTTCCTCCTCTCCTAGTTCTCGTTCTGGATTTTGATCTTCTTCCCCCCCACTCTCTTTGGTGGGCAAGGTCCTCCTTTTATATCTCAAGGGGATACCACATGCACCACTTCTACCTACTCTTCTTTTAAGTGGGGACCCTCCCTATTTTGACCCAAACTTGGCTTGCTTCTTCACCTGGAAACTAAATCACAGCTTGTTCTTGAGTGAGGCCCAGCGCCATCACTCGACTGACACAGGGGATCACCCTGTCATTCCTTCATTAATGGGTGGAGATTTGCAATGGCCGCCGTCCGAATGACCCTCCGATGGGATGGGTCATATCTACCTCCACTTTGCCGGAAGCAGATGCAACGTGGGGGCACGTTTTGTCTGCCGATGACGTGACCGGCGTCAGACCAGTCACAGACCGGTCATTCTTGTCCTCCACGTGTCAGATTAGCATGCCTCACGTCTGTCTTTCTTCATACAATGACTTCCTTGCAATGGTTGCGATGAAGCCTGGGATGTATCTGGCCGGGATTGGCGTGTCAACTCCAGGAGTTAACACGCCGGCTCCGGCTAGGGACGAGTGCCTGGAGGCTCTCATCATTCCGATGGGACGGGGCGAGGCGCGTGACAGGCCGCCTGTTGCCACCTAACCCGCGATCTGACCGGTCTGTGACCGGTCACATACTGCGACCGGTCACGGACCGGATAAGTGAGCGCGCTGCACTGCATTAAATGCGGCGTGGCGCGCTCGTCCAACCCGCAATAAACGCGGTTAGGTGAGCCCTGCTGTGCTCACCTAACTCACACACGTGGTGCCAACACCACAGGGGGTCGGGGCGCCCCAACCCTCGGGGCCGAAACGGGAGTGGCCCGACCCCTCGGGGAGACAGAGGGAGGGGTGGCCACATCACCCTCGGGCCCGACCCCCCCAGGGGGTCAAGGCACGTGGGTGAGCGCGGCCGCCCAAGCCTTTAGTCACGATACTCCCGGTCCCTTGTCACCGACAGTAGCCCCCAGCGTTATGCCAGGGCGATCGCCCCCCTCGAGGGAAGCGCTCGGGCGTAACGCCACTCCTTAGGTCTGGTGACAGGTGGGGCCGGTCTCTACAAGCGGGCAGAAAGCCAGCGATCGCAAATCGTGCACATCGGTAAGGGAAAACCGACTGACAATAATGAGTGGCCTCTTCGCGACCGCTACATTACTCGAGCAGCGCGCGAATCGGGACGAGCCGGTTCGTTTCACCTGGAGACGTGATGATGGCGTTTTTCTTGGTTGGCGAGCGCGGTTAACGCGTGCACGATCTGTCCCATCTCGGCTGCCACGGCTGCACATCCGCCTCGTGCGCCGCAAACGGGCGAGCGGGATTAGTGGAGGTGTGGGCGCGAGAAACGAGGGGGCGAGATAGTGGGCGCGGGAAACGAGGAGTCGGGCATAGCGTTGGCAAGGGTATAAAGACGTCGAGGAAGAGATTCACTTCCTTCCTCTCGCCACTATTCCCCTTGCCTTCGCCACTTGCGCTCTAACTCTTCGTTTCTTGTGCCCTACCCTCGCCGCACTTGCTCGCTCTCAAGCTCCTCCTCCGCCGGCGTCATGGCACAGGGCTCCGCACCGCTCGACGGTAGCGTGCTGCCGCCTTCCCGCATCGTGAGCGAGAGGCAGGCCGGGCTGCCGCGCCGATTCATGCCGGAATCTGCCACCGGCCGGGAGGTGGTCGAGCTGGGCGAGGGACGCCCGGCGCCACACTACCCGGGGCGGTCCGTCTTCTTCCTCTCTTTCGCAATGGCAGGGCTGGTCCCGCCATTCTCTTCTTTCTTCATGGATGTTCTGGAGTTTTATGATCTCCAGATGGCGCACCTCACCCCCAACGCGGTAATGACGTTGGCCATCTTCGCGCACCTGTGCGAGATGTTTATCGGGGTGCGCCCATCTCTTCGGCTGTTCCGGTGGTTCTTCACCGTACAGCCGGTGATGCCGCCGTCGGTAGTTGGTGGCTGCTACTTTGTCACGCCCGGAAATTCACTAATAATTTCCGAACTTATTTGTGCATAAAATCCTCGTCCAGGAATCAGCCGAGGTACATAAACTGACAATTTAATATTCAGATTCATCAAATTAACTAAAACGATAAATACTTACTTAAGAGGCACTTAGTCCTCACCATGAAGAAAACTGCAGCGGAAAAATAAAATCTAGCGAAGCTCCGGCTCCACTCCCACAGGCAGCTCAACTGGGGTATAAGCCAAACGTCTTCTCCTTCTGGATCCTTTTCTTCAACTGAGGTTGATTGATTATTGCAAGAATGAGCATATGACATACTCAACAAGCCACACAGCAAGTATGCAAGTGCACAAGGATACCAAAGGATGGCATAATATAGGCTCATTTGCGAAAGCAGCATTTAGCAAAGAGTTAAGAGTAGTAAAACAGTAGAGTAATTAATCAGAAATTTTAATCAACACTGAACAGCACACCCATGCTGTACAGGCCCAACCATCCTGAACAACCATACCCGGCTGAACAGATCTAACTCCAAACCAGGAGCTAAGCAAATTATTACCAGTTAATCATCAATAATTATTGTGAGAGGTGTGAGACTAATCACGAAAAACATTGCTCAACTCGCCCATAACCGCGGGCACGGCTATTCGAATAGTTTTACTCTGGCCAGAGGTGTACCACTGTACCCACAAGACACGATTCCACACATGTTGCCATGCCCCGAAATACCACCACGGCATTGCAAAGGGGGAAATCGTGACAATACCCTTTGCACAACACAACTCAAAACAGTGCACCGTTCCCGGATCATAGTCACCCCTTTATAAACAAGGCATGAACTCCCCAGCGACCCCCGTGGACTTCTCGCCACTTCTCAGTCTGGCGCACTATAATGAATCACGCTATACAAAGGATAAAGCCGTTGCCCATGCTGGCTTGTGGTTGGCACGATAAATGTTTCACAACCGTAGCTCGCGAACCGGTCCTTAATTGCC